TACGCGGTGTTTCGACGCTCGTATACGACTCTTTCTCCTTATATCGTCCTTTTCCATTCCACGCTCGCCTCGGCTACCCAACCTCGTGCGCCCTGCCATCCCTCGACCGGCGTTCTTCTTTTCCACCTGCGAATATCGCCCCCGAACATCCGACGGATTACACGGATGCCGCGCGCTACCGATTAATAGGGTCGACGTGTAATTCTATTTGGCGTCTCTTTCGAGAAAATTGATGGTCCGGCTGTTCGCGAGGTCACCGAGATTGACTGGGTTCCCGTGAATTTTGAATCGACAACGTGATTGATCGAGAATAGTAATTAAACTACGGAGCAGCAGGAAATTGGGAAATTGACCAAGTACTCCAGACAATTTTGTGATTGTTTGAAATTTCCTAGTTCATTCTATAGGGCAGCCTTGTTTTCTTTGATTACCGAATATCTAAATTCAGATTTGATAAAATTCGATATCGAGAGTATTATAAATACCTGATAACGAACATGTCAAATTGAACGATACAAATTTGAGCTTCTTTATTGGCAATACCATTTCCCCCGTAGCTGTTTTAACACTAGAAAGACTGAAACTTAGTATGTACCTATATTGCCCAAAGCAGTCAAAATGTCTGCATTGTGAGAGAATAATGTGTAAAGAGATTTGTCTAAAATTAATTTTTAATATTTTTTATATTATTTACAGTCATATAACAAGTTATTAGTAAATGTTAACAATAAAAAAAAAATTTACTTCACTTGGGAAAAAATAATTTATGCATTATTATTTGTACATTTGCCCAAAAGCACTCAAAATGACTTCCTTGGGCAATCTAGTGTTAATAATAGGGAAATTGCTGGATTCTTTTACCATCTACTCTTATAGTCAGTGATTTAAACGCCGTTTGAGGGGTCAAAATTACACGGTGAAATCGAATCGATTGTCAGTCGAGTCACGATTCCAAGTAGGTATAGGGATTTGGTTCCATCGATCGGCTTCTTAACGGGTTCGTGGTAAACGGACTGGCTAACTTTCCGGTGGCTCGTGTTTTGGAGATCTGTTTCGGCAAGTTGCATAGGTATACCATAATCATGGTTGCGGTAGGCAGGCAAGTTGCCGGTGTAATTTACCGTTCCGGCCAGGTGCGTCAGAAGTTGCTCACCTTACGACCTAATTGGGTTTAATTACACCTCGCTGGAAGTTACGACGCCGGCGTGCATCTGTACGTATCGGGTAGGTTAACAACTGGGACCGCCGACACCTGATTTCAGTCACCGCGACCGGCCTTATTATACACGCGCCGCGTATGATTCTTGTCGCTGAAGTTGACCCCAGGCCTCGTAAATGTCGATTTACGTTGACCGTGCGACCACCTACACGCCATTGAGCATCGTCGTTCATATAGAACAGAGCGTCACGAACAGATACTGCCGCACAATGGCACGTTAATAATTTTTATACTGATCTTAATGGTCTCACAGTCGGACGAACAAGAACCTTGGCTCTCTCCTGCCTACGTCTTCGTATCTGTCACTAATGAAGTTCAGTTCTGTCCGTTTGCCGTGGGTAATCACGAGCAGGACAAATAGAGCAGCTAATCGATCATCAAAGCCTGGTCCCTTAGCGTGACTCGATTCACGCTTTGATTTAGTGAGGGTATCATTAGGAGGTCAAATCTGAGAGGTACGGATGAGGTTCTGGAACCGCGTGATACACGCATCGGGCTCGTGCAATTTACTCGCGTAATTGGATTAATGTTTGAGTTCCTGCTCGTCGACGATATTATTTCACACAGGCCAGTGTACCTCTGCGACTTGATTTAGTCTAGTGCTTCCCGGGGCAGACGTTTGGAAACGCATAGCGAGAAATTTTCGTGGCAAAAGAAACCAAATATTGACGTTGGTAGGTGGACACGGCACAATGTTCTCACCGGCGCCCGCTTGAACCGCCCACGGCCGCGTTTCCGTAACTTACGTTTCGCTAGGCACGCCTCGAGAACATAATAAGAGACTCGAGCAACGGAATCTAAACGCGCGCAACTGCAGCTACCGAGTCCCAAGCGACCCTGCCATTTCGCAAAGTGAAAAGTGACTCACTAGTTAGCCCATTCACATAGTGCGACTATCGTCTCTTCTGTTAATACGAGAGAAAGAAACGCAGCAGCACGCGATCCAACGACCAGTTTTTATGCAAATGGTTCTTTGAATACCGATTGAGCAACTCGAACGGATCGCTTCACGTTTCCTAAATTACAATCGCGAATAGACTGCAACATAATTATGGTCGGAAACAGTGGTAAAATTTAATTGCTTCACGAAAGTCGGCTAACGCAGAAACGATTATTATCGGGCACCCCGAAAGTCACATCGAGGACAATTGATGGAGAATCCCGCGAAGGTATTTGGTTTAATCGATCGCCATCCGTGGTCCGACCGCATTTATGCACGTCGCCTTACTTCCACTCGTGGCAACTTCTGGCGAATTTCCAAGCTTCCTCGTGCCTTTGCTAACCCACATACCCGCTTAAAACGATGTTATTAAGCCCTGGGCATCATCAGGCAAGCGCGGAACCTGGCGCTTTTCTCCTCCGTTTCGCGCTCTCCTCTGTTTTCAGAAGAATTCCCTTGTTTCTCTCATTCGAAGCTGTCCGAGAAAGGATCTTCTCCGCGCGAAATGAAAACACAAGATTACGTTGGCACACGTCGAGAAAAGCGTTTTATGCACGTAGAGGAATATATTCGAAATAAAGGTAGAAATATATTTGCACGCATGCGAACGGAAAAGGGAGACTCGCCCAGAATGAAATTACGAATTTAATATCACAGTCCCAGGATTATACCGCTGGAAATATACATTTCCTTCTCCGGCGTTTTCAGCGACATAAAACGAAGCGCATTCAAAGAGCCAATTAACAGGCGTTCGAGAAATTACCACGTTCGCTGCGAATTGTAATTAGCGGCATCAGTTGCGTTCATCGAAACCAGTCATTAGCGTTGCGTCGAAACACATGACGTTCTACGAGTTAGAGCGAGTGAAATAATTTTTGTTACTGGGACAGAGTTCGATGGTCAATCATGACCTGGGAAATTTAATATCGAAGGCCCTGTGACACTTTACGTCGCCTTGAAATATGGTCGGATTTGAGGGAAAAGAGGGACAACTGTCATCCAGGGCCGAGCCCAGGGTCAGGATGAAAGATCGAGTTTTAGTCTGTCAAAAGGTATCGCCTTTCCCTTTAATATTCTATCTCTCCTCTTTACACTCGGTGAATTGATAATCCATTTCGATTCTGATAACATCTTTTATTCTGAGGAATCGTCTGCGTGATACGCTCCGGTTCGATCACGTTTATTTAGAAGACAAATATTTCCCATGAAGTTCGATACACCGGAGCTTGTCCAATATAATGGATCATGAAAGAGAACGAGGATACAAGAAACTGTCAAATGCACTTTCCAATAATCTTTGAAAAATATCTTGGTTACTACCACGAGAAGAAGTGCATCAACTTCACATTCCGAAGATTGAAGAGCACACTTTTCTACTGCCAGTGATGGATAATAGCGAGCCACGCGAGAAGGGCAAAAACGTCATGGCGCAAGCGTGCACACACGTCGTAGAAAAATACACGGGAGTTTTACAAAGTGTCACGGTCGCAATGTGAAAGGATATCGGCATCGCCACTATTTCTATTCGGCACAAAAAGTTCAAGAAGCCTGGTTTCATTTATTTGTCGAGGGAAAAGTCGCTTCCCTTGATAATTCTACAGAATAATAATCAAAGGAAGCTGGCCGAGTCGTAGTCCGAGAGGCTGGCTCGTTATCGTACGGCCGTCTTTCGGCTGTGTCGCGTCGGAAATTGGAGTCCCCGTGGTGATCTGACCGAGATTAAAAGTTGGCTGGTTTCGAAGGAGACGCAGAAGACCAAGGCCCGAACGATACTCGGGAGAGGCGAGGCGGCGGTGGCGACGTTAGTCAGCAAACCGCCCGGCTAATCCCTTAATTACTTCGACATGGTTAGCGACCCTGTACTAACCACGTCGGTGCCAGGCTCCGTCCCCTGATCGTTAATTAAAATGGCACTTCCTTGCAGCCGCGTAATTTCCAGCCGGTGCGGCACCGGTCAATCGAGCTCGTCCTTAAAACGTTGCACCCGTTCCTCGGGAAATTTATAACCAACCGATATCGTTCTCGGGCCACGGTCCGCAGTCGCAGATTCTCGTTACGCCGACTTAACGACTTGTTTCCTTTTCAACGACCGGAGAAAGTATCCTGTAACAGCCCTTGTAACGAGCGAAAGTTACGGCGAATTTCATTGTTTTCGGCGCGAAGGTGGTAATTGAACGCAGAAATGAGGGACACCGTCATAGTATAATTGAATAAAATTATGATGTATGATTATTTAATTTATTCGTTCGTACAAAGTATGTAAATGATAAGGCGGGTTTTGATGATAATACTTTTTGAAAATTAAATTTCTATCGCGAACCAAAAGAGGACGTCATCCTCTGCATTTCCATTACGGTGAAAATGAAATTCATTCATTTGATAAAACGATATGCTCGATGCAATCTATTATCACTTCATTCGTCCCGAAAATCCCATCCCGAGATTCGGCTGATATACATACATAAATACGTGTATTATACACGATGAACGCGACCGAATCGAAGTTCAATTATGCAAAATGCAGCCGAACGGTTATCCGATCTGATCATAATTACCTCGGGTTCGCAATTTTATAATAGTCATCGATTGGATAATGCGAAACCCCATAACTGCGGCGCATTTAGTAAAACCTGTTTCATCCGTTTTGAGTTTATACGACGTGGAACATATTGAAACATTGAATCAAGAAGCAGCCTTCTGTGCAACTACGAAACAGTAGAAGCAAGCTTACGTCATAGTACAATCGATCACTACTGATTGCTACCGTGATTATCCGAACGAGATTATTCGCGGTCATCGAGGATTGACTCCCTATGTAACGTCGTCGACATGCTGATTCAGGTACCGCAGCGAGGGTGTTGCGGAGTCCGCTCTGGTCGATGACACCCTCAACGGAAATCCTCGATCTTCGCCGTCGTCTTCCTCGATTCTGCCTCCGGTTCAATCAGCATCCGCGGACACGGTCGACGCTGCGAACCTAACCGATTCGAGAAAGTACGTACGATATCCGAGACGATCATCTTCGTCGTACCTAGACTCCGCTCCCTTTAGAAACCGCTGCACCGTTCTTAACTCGAACCAAAGTTGTTGCTTTCACAGTCTCTTACCTTGTTCCATGTTATTCTTACACTCAAATTGTGTACGACTGTTATCTTTGTTGTCCTGTGTTGCGCTACTGTTCCGCTGCTACAATCATTTACCCTGTTCTTATTCTTGGCCAACCGTCGCCGCAGCGTGTTTGGACGTCTGCGTCTCGAGCGAAACTCGATGGCTGGCCCGTGATGTGATTTCCACTTGCGATCGCGAGCTTTTGTAGGCGACTCGCGTGGCTGCTCCGTAGGAAACTCGAGTTGTTGTTGCTTATCTTTGTGTACCGCCGCCTGCCACCCCTTTATCCAACCGCCCTACGTACACTCCGCAGTAACTGTAAAGTTTTGGCTACGCGGACACATTCGGCATTGCATGCTAGGTACGACGTGGTAACTTCGTGGACGTGGAACGTATGATCAATCGTGTGTTCGGAACAGTTTCCCTCTTCCCGTTTCTCAAACAGCGTTCAGTTCAATTTACCAAGTATCAAATTCAATCATGGAAAACTAACAAACTATAATTTATACCGGAATTTCTAATCACACTCGTGGAAAGACTGTCAAAAAGGAAATTAAGTAAAACAACAGAAAGTAAGACTAGATTTTCCTGAAATACAGAATCGACTAATATTATTTTGTTAATCAACTACGATAATTTTATTTTGTCAATAAACATCTTCGTATAGTAGCAAACCGTTCTATTGCTTCTTTTTT